CTTGTAGATGTAATTTCGTTATATAAACTAAACTAAGTCATAATTTCATCAATAAGTATGCATCGATTCACAGATATGTGTTGAAGACCTTGAGGAGGTGACACACATGTACGTATTATACATGGTGAATCGGTGTTTGCATGGTCACATATATAATTTCTAGTTTTATGGGATACTCCGGTGATCTGGAAAATCATGGCATGCGCATCCCTCTTCTGCTAAGATCTCATGACCAAATTTAAAATCATAGATAAGGTGGAATACTGCAGGCATCCAATAATGTGGTTAAAGTTAAATGCTAAGCTCCTGCATTACAGTACCTGCGTCAGTGGCAGATGGAGGATTGTGATTGGCGGGTGGAATGGCCTGTAACAATTGCTTTTAGCTAAAGACATAGTTAAAAAACCTACAGGCGTAATGGGATAAAAAATGCTATATAAACAGTATGTATGAACAAGTGGAAATGATGGTTATCAGGAGTATGAATTTTATACAACTGAAATGAGCACCTGGGTAACAACAAAATTTGGCAAGAATGATTTGCTAGGGATGCCTCACTGATTATAAAGATCTTATTTGAATGTAAGAGAGGATTAGCACATAAATCATCTGTTAGTGTATATCAATAGAATGTGAAATTCAAATCCAAAAGAAGGCTCATTAAGTGGGTAAGTAAGCGACAAATGGATTTTTTTTTGGTAAGAAGGCAGCAAATGATTGAATTCACTTTGTTTTGACAAACTGAATAAGTTAGTTACCTAGTAGAGCCCATTTCAATTGATGTATTTCTGATTATATGGCAAATCTTAAGCAGTGATATGGTTTGCCCCTATATCATAAAGCAAGAATGTGATAGGATGAAGGGTGTGTTTTGAAGAGTTTAAGCGGTACCATGCCATCTATGATTTCCAGTAATGGTGATGGTGGCCCATCACCGGTGTAATAGAATCAGAACTTTTTGTTACAACTATAATACGAGGTTTCTTCCTACTCTTTGTTTTTTTTTTTTCTGTTTTTTTTTTTTTGTGCGGAGTGGGGGTAAGTCTTCCTCCTGTGTATGTAGTTCGAGAAGTGCACTTTTATGAAACTAATGAATACACACACACACACACACATGTATGTCACGCATCAAGATAAATTTAAAGATATCTCTTACAGAAGTCTCATTCTTTGAAGTCTGTCTAAATGATTAATCGCTGCAGGGCACTTCGGTGAATATTATCGTGGGTTCTCATGTCTGGGTTGAGGACCCAGCATTAGCTTGGGTTGATGGACAGGTAATAAAAATTTCAGGGGAAAAAGCTGAGGTCCAGATCAGTAATGGGAAGAATGTAAGTTCTCTGCCCATGATTGCACTTCATTTCTTGATGTTCTGTTTCTTCTAAGTTTTTTTGTGGGCATCTAGTTCAAATATTGAACCTGGAAAAGAATATATCATCTCACCAATCATGTTCGCAGGTTTCAAACGCATACGGTCACTTATCTATCACATATGTCACCAAAACAAGTTAATGCAACTTTTCTGTAGTGTGTAGCTGAATTCACAACACTTTGCTGTTCAATATCCTAGACATGAACACATAGTTACACTTTTCTGTTGTCTTTATAACAATTGTTAGTTCTCCTTCAAACATACCCACAAATATTTACATCTCCTTTCATATTTTCACCTCTCTTTTGACCAGCTTGTTTACTGAAAATGGAGTTTCGAAGTAATATTTATGATAGTATCCCCTTTCTTTTGGAAGAAGCATAATAAATATGTGAATATGGGTATATGACCTGATACACCATCTCTTCTCTCTTGAGGCAATTTGTAAGATCTATTTTTGCTATGTATTAAAAATAATGTGTGCTGCATAATTTAGAAAAATGAAGTTAATTTCTTCTGTCTTTTCGGCAACAGTGATACAGAAAATAAGGAAACTAGACAGTATAGATGTCATATGTCAATTAACCTTGTCATCATATATGTTATACATTGAAATACGAAAAGCGTGCGCAACTTGACAGCTAAAAACCTTTGCTTCGCATTTGCAGTAATAATTAAACCTACACACATCTAGCATTGTAAAACTGTAAAGCATCTTGAGATTCATGTTCCTGCCTATCTTTCAGGTTGGTGCAAAGTTATCAAATATATATCCCAAGGATATGGAAGCACCTGCAGGTGGTGTTGATGACATGACAAAGCTATCTTACTTGCATGAGCCTGGAGTCCTGCAGAATTTAAAAACAAGATATGAACTTAATGAAATCTATGTAAGTTTTCATTCTTGAATAGTCTTAGTTTCTGCACTATGTTCTGTGCCATACTATGTATCTCCTAATTATTGATATTATGACAGACTTACACTGGAAATATCTTAATTGCAATTAATCCATTCCAAAGATTGCCTCATATTTATGATGCTCACATGATGCAACAATACAAGGGAGCACCATTTGGAGAACTAAGCCCTCATGTTTTTGCTGTTGCTGATGTCGCTTATAGGTACTCCCCACCCCCACCCGCCGGAAAAATGACAAGCCAAGTACAACTGTATTAATATTATTTTCATGATCTTCCTAATACATGGTAATGTTCCACTGAAAATAGGGCAATGATCAATGAGCACAAAAGCAATTCGATTTTGGTCAGTGGTGAAAGTGGAGCAGGTAAAACCGAGACCACGAAAATGCTTATGCGGTATCTTGCATTTTTGGGTGGCCGGGTAGCCACTGAAGGACGCACAGTTGAACAACAAGTCCTAGAAGTATGACTTATTGCAGAGCTTTAATTCTTTACTTTAAGTTTTTAGTTGATTTTTTGCTTATTTTATTATCTTCTGCCACTTATGATTAATTTGATTTCATATGACACCGTAATGAGACTTTTGCACATCCTGATCTGATTGCAGTCCAATCCAGTTCTTGAAGCATTTGGAAATGCTAAAACTGTTAGAAATAACAATTCCAGGTGAGCCTCACTCAGATTTGTGCTATAGAACATAAATATTCCATCATTCCTATCGACTTTGTACCATAGGTATGCAATTTTTAACTTTAGGATTGTTGACTCATTTAACAAACTGAGTTCCATTACTGAATCCAATGTTACACAGGAGACTTGTTGGTGGATGTGCTCATTGTTTTCTCTGGCAAAAATTCTCCTAGTGAAAATAAAGTAGTTATATTTGCTAATATGAATTTCCATTTTCTGAGGATTAGTATCAATAGACGGCTTAGGACAGCTGAATTGAACTTTTTCCATTAATAAATATTGATGTTTGAAATATAATATTGGTGCAGCCGTTTTGGTAAATTTGTTGAGATCCAGTTCGATAAGCATGGTAGAATATCAGGGGCAGCAGTCAGGACTTATCTTCTGGAGAGATCTCGTGTTTGCCAAATTAATGATCCCGAACGCAACTACCACTGCTTTTACCTTCTATGTGCAGCACCTCAGGAGGTTTCTTTTTGCTCCAATGAGAGCATTGTCTCATAGTTCTGTCCTTTTTGGTGCTTAACTTTCGTATCATTTATGCCTTACAGGAAATTGAGAAGTACAAATTGGGAAGCCCCAAATCATTTCACTATCTTAACCAGTCAAAGTGCTATGAGCTGGTTGGTGTAAGTGATGCCCATGACTATCTTGCCACCAGGCGAGCAATGGATATTGTTGGTATAAGTGAAAAGGAGCAGGTATGACCTTTATCAGAAGTGTGTGCATTTCATTTCCTCCACTGCTTTATAGGTACTAGGAAGGGCCTTTCGCTTATGCTCTCTCTCTCTCTCTCTCACTCAGGAAGCAATTTTCCGAGTTGTTGCGGCAATTCTTCATCTAGGCAATATTGATTTTGCTAAGGGAAAGGAAATTGATTCATCAGTCCCCAAAGATGACAAATCCAAATTCCATCTTAAAATGACAGCTGAACTTCTTATGTATGAACTATTCCCAGTATTACCTGAAGAGATTATAGGTTATATGTGTCATTGCATATGGTTGCAGAGATTGATTCAATGTTTACTTTAGGTGTGATCCCATGGCCTTGGAAGATGCATTATGTAAACGTGTGATGATAACCCCTGAAGAAGTGATAAAGCGAAGTCTTGATCCTCTTAGTGCAACCGTTAGCAGGGACGGTTTGGCTAAGACAATATATTCTAGATTATTTGATTGGTAAGAAGCTGAATTCTAATCATACTGTTAACATGTGAAATGCAATTCCTGTCAGAGAAACTAGATTTGGATAGTTATATGGTGCTGAGTTTCTTTTTTGCTTTGTTAATTTTTAATCATGTGCAGGTTGGTTGATAAAATTAATGTCTCAATAGGACAAGATCCTAATTCAAAATCTCTGATTGGGGTCCTTGATATCTATGGTTTCGAAAGTTTTAAGCATAACAGGTAGCAACCAAGACTTGATAACCCAATAAAATTTTTAGGTTTTTTATATAATCATGAAGATCTGCATACAGTTACCTTTTTTTACAGGCTTGGGCAGTTCTTTTATCTTAACTTTGGCATGTCATGCTTTGCAGCTTTGAGCAGTTTTGCATTAACTTCACAAATGAGAAGCTGCAACAACATTTTAACCAGGTAGCCCTTACATCATATTGGCCATTTAAGGCTTCATTTATTGTCAGCTTTTTGCTTAAGTTTCCAATGGTGTCCTTCAGCACGTCTTCAAGATGGAACAAGAAGAATACACGAAAGAGGCCATTGATTGGAGCTACATTGAATTTGTTGATAATCAAGATGTTTTAGATCTTATTGAAAAGGTATTTCCCCTTTTATTTGCACTTGTAATCATGGTTGGTTGATTATACTTCTTGTTATAGTTACTATTTTGCACTCCAACTAAGCAAATTTCTGTTCAGACATCCAAAATACCAGGTTAGGAACTCCTGTTGTTGAGTCAGACCTATATCAAGGAAAGGTCCAACTGTTGGAATAATGGTATCCATTGCTATGTGCTCCATTGTGATGAGTAAGATTGGTGAACTAGCTGAAAGGATGGAAAAGGAGGGATTTGAACCTCTGTAAGCCAAATCCTACATAGCAGTTCCAATGCTACACCTTGAACCACTTGGCCATCTCTCCTACATACTGATTATGACCCAAAAAACCGAGTGAATAGCAAGTCACTCATATTTGATTGTTGGATAGGTACGACCAATCAATTCTAACTATTTTACGGTGGCATTGGGTAATTGTCTCCCATTTATTCATGTGGATATATCTTCATAGAATGGTTGAAGTTTTCTTTTATACTTAATACTTATATTCTTTTTTTCGTTAAACTATCCATCACTGTACTTCCAAAAAAAGTTTCCTGCTAACTTGAATATTATCTTAGAATTAAGGTTTCAAGTTTGTACTTGATCCCCTTACGTACCCAAAATCCATCTGTTCTCATTGCCCCGTTGCTTTCAACGTCCTTAGTTATTTGTATGGATGCAAAAAAAACTGAATACTGGTTCAGTAGTCCAAAATCTGGTTTTGTTCATCTCGTATGACAAACTCTTATACTTGTGTTATCATTTTCGTTCACGTTATTTGTTTATGTGTGTGTATCTAGAATTGTTATTTCTAAAAATTTGACTTTCTCTCTGTGTTTTATTCCCTTTTTCTATTACTTTTTTATGCTCGCATTCTTTCTTCCGTTAGTTTGACTCTTAATGCTCTTCTTTTAAGTATTGAGATCTCTAGACTGCTATGCAGGTTTAAATAAATAGATATCAAGATGTCTAGCATGAAATTTCCTCTTTTTAGGCTTTCTACCAGTCAGAAAAAAAAAAAAGAGTAAATGATCCCCTTAACATTGTTTTCACAGTTGCTTCTTCCTGAACCAGGAATATATATCCCCTGCAGGTTTTTGTATATTCATTCTTTGCATCTATTTAGGGGCAAAGCCAGAATTTTTATGGGAGGGCCAACAAGGAGGAATATAACATAAGGCACCACACTAAGATTTCCAATACGTTCCATGTTTCTTCTTTTTTTTTTTTTTTTGGGGGGGGGGGGGAGCTCCAATTTTTCTCAAAAATAGAATCAATTTAAAGGGCTAAAATGCAATTTTAGATTTTTTTACTGACAAGGGCCCACCTTGGTCCCAATGCCACTGCTACTATTGGTTTAGTACATTAAATTGACCCGTTGATTTGTAGTAAACTATGACAACTGTGTGATATCATCTCCGAAATGACTTACTCCTTGAATTCATAATAAATCCAACAATTTGTTTTGTTGGATCATCGTTGCCACCACTATATGCTTGTAAAATATACTCTGATTTAGAAACAAAAAAGAAATAGAAAACAAAAGCTACATGAATTTTTCCCGAGTGATAACTGAAATAAAATGATCACATTTGTATGATATGCAGAGGTTCAAAGTATTGACCGAGTCGGATACGACTCGGCACTTTTCGAGTTTATACCATTACACGTTACGTTTGAACCTCGAGTCTTCCTTGATTAGTCCGAGTCATTTTTGATTCAATAAGTTATTGAGATATCGTCACCGAATTGACCGATACCATTTCGCAGTGCTACGATATAGTCTGAATCTCTCCTTATGTTCAACTTATTCTTTTAGGTCATATTGCCCAATACCGTGCTACGACGCCGTTACCAATATGTCTTAAAGCCCTCTGAGTCGATGGGTGATACCACAATCTTAAACCCAAAATAGAAAACAAGAAACCGAAGAACAATGTTATAGGCTTTTAAGGATAATGTGCTATTGCAGCTTTTGTCCTAATTTCTTTAGAATTGTATACCAGTAAATTGCTGGTGGAGACCTAGGAAATTGTTTGATTTAGGGTTCCATGAATATCCGTGACCATGTTTTTATTAGATGGTTAGCTCAACAGAATTTAAATTTGGGGCAAGTTCTAGAAAGAATTTTTGACTGACATGCTGTAAAGTTAAAAAGATTGGATTGCCTTAGATTTGAATCTAGGGTTTTAGGAATTGGTTGAGTCCAATACGACTCGGCCATTATCGATATGATAACAACACACGAAACGCAAAAAAGTCAGGCCTATATCGGCGATATCTTGGCAGAACTCAAGCACTTCGACATAAATCAGATTCAACTCGGTAGGACTCGAACGATTCAAATTGGAATCGGCTGGTATGATCAAATCTTGTGTAAAATCTCTAAAATTCTGGACCAATAGCAAAAATCTAAAGCAAAAGAGAAGGGTTATAATTTATGTACCAGTCAAGTTTCAAAATATCATTTCGAAGTGGTCGAAACATCCGAAACGTTTCTGTTTCCAAGAAGACCGAAACGAATTATTGATGGAATCGAAATTCTAATACTTCAAGGTGTTCTATAATGTTTCAAAATTTTTTGTTATATTTTAATGCATTTGCACAATTATTTTGCATTGTTTCAAGATATTTGAAGATATTTTGGTATATTTCGACTAATGTTTTGAAAAAATAATTTTTAAATTTTTATTTTTTTTCATTATGTTTTTAAAATGGGTCGAAACGTTTTTGAAACATGTCGAAACATTTCTGTTTTTTAGGTGATCGAAGCAATGCATCAAAATGAAAATTTGATCCTTGATACCTATAGAATCAAAGATCCCACAAACAAATCAGCTTCTTCTCTTCTCTTTATTCTTCTTCTTCTTCAATCCTTCATTGCTAACTACAAGTTGCGAACCAGTCGCAGTATCATAAAAGGAGAAGCTCTGGCAATGGTGGCTTCATCACCTATCTTTCTAGTTGACTTCGTCGGTTTATCTCCTCTCGGATTCTTCTTCTTCTCCCCCCCCCCCTTGTGGACTAAGACGCAGACGCATAAAGCGTCTTTGGGAAGCTAACGTCTCTTGTTTTTTTTTTAAAGGACTCTGTTTTTGGAAATTAGCAAAAAAAATTTTATTTTCCTTTTACTTCTTTATCTTCGTTAAGTTAGATTAAATTATTTTATGTGAGTAATAGTTTTTGGGTACACTTTTGCAGGTATGTCCCAACAGATAAAAAATAGGCAGTTTTTTTTCCTTTATTTTCTTTTAAAATGATTAATTTATTTTATTTGTGCGTAATAGTTTTTTAGTACACTTTTGTCCAAGTTTACTAGAGGTAAAATTTACTCTACCGCAGACCATTAAATAATAAACATATCAATTTTTTTAAGCTCAAAATATTAACTAAATGTCAAAATATCAACATGTTCTTAAATGCTTAAATTGAACACTATGAATGATAATTATGTTCGGTAGCGCCCTTATGTTTCAATTTAATTATGTTTAATGTGTTTTTGGATGTATTGTGGACATATGATGAATCAATGATAATGTTTATATTTTTTAAAAATTTTCATGATTTTTTAAAATTTTTTGGAGCTTCTAACTTGCATTTGAGTGTATCGGCCGATATCGTGCCGCGGCGCTGCGACCAATGTGTATCAATGCCCTCCAAGTTGATGACCGATGCTACAACTTTGAACCATGTTTGAATCAAGATATCAACTTGCCAAGACTTTCTTTTTTACCAGATATGAAATAACTAGTAACATATCTATGGATACTTTTATGGGGAATCTGCTTATTCTGGGGGGTGTACGAAGAGCCTACTTGATAGCAAGAAGGATTCATGTATTGAATCCCAACTTTTTGTGATTAAGGTGTTTCTGTTAGTTGAGTTGTCGCTGGAAAGTGAATAAAATTGCGCCCTTGTATAAGTTTTCTTCAGTAATTCTGATATTCTTATAATCTCAAACAGTATTCTGTCATAAATAAACTGATCCCTTTATAATTGATGTTGACACTAGCTTCAAAGTTCCGTGAGTTTTTTTGAAATCCAGATTCTATCTCAAATTTGTTTTCCGAGGGAAGAGCATGTGTTGAGTGAGTCAAGTTATTAATAAATTCAGGGGAACACTCTTTCTTTGTTCAATTCAGTCTGGGTATAGTAATTAGTCTTACTGTCAACCTATAATTTGTATTATTTATTTTTGCAGAAACCGGGAGGAATCATTGCTCTCCTTGATGAAGCCTGGTATAAGGATCTCCTTTCCCTTTTCTCTCATATGTTTAGTTTCTCAAATAAAATATGTACATGTTCATTTAGAAATTTTACTAATTTATTTTTCATCCATTTAGTTAGAAACAGATTCAGCTGATAAACATCTGCAGAAATGAGTTTCTGGTGGTTGAAGCAATTTGATTAGTTCTTATTCTGTTTTACTGGACCTTCTGTTTGCAGTATGTTTCCGAAGTCAACACATGAGACATTTGCAAACAAGCTCTATCAGACTTTTAAAACTCACAAGCGTTTTATCAAGCCTAAATTGTCCCGCACTGATTTCACAATCTCACATTATGCTGGAGAGGTTTGTTTGGTTACCAAAGCATAGCTCTTCTATATATTGAAATTATGACCTTTTTAGCTCTTTTAACTCCTCCCATTCATTTCCAGGTTCTATACCAATCTGAACAATTTTTGGACAAAAACAAAGACTATGTGGTTCCTGAATATCAAGACCTGTTGGGTGCTTCTAAATGTTACTTTGTAGCAGGCCTTTTTCCTCCAATACCTGAAGAGACTACCAAATCTTCTAAGTTCTCTTCAATTGGTGCACGATTTAAGGTATCTTTGCTTACATTGTAGTTGTGGCCCTGTTTGTGCATTTTGAATAATCCTATTGTATCACATTTATAAGCGACACTTAATGTCACTCTTGAGAAACAATGCGCCCCTGTTTTTACACCTGAAGAAGTTGTAGAGGATGTAATGTATGAGAAAAGGAAATTTGACATCTTTCAATTTTATGATGCAGCTGCAACTGCAACAACTGATGGAAACACTTAATGCAACAGAACCTCACTATATCAGATGTGTGAAGCCAAACAATCATCTCAAACCTGCTATCTTTGAGAATGTCAACATCATGCAACAGTTGCGTTGTGGCGTGAGTACATCTGTTCTTACTATTTTTTGAAGTTTTTTTTTTCCTGTTTGATAAGACATCCAATTGCACTTTTACTTTTTTGATATTAATTAGCACTGATCATTGCCCTTTTAGGGTGTTTTAGAGGCAATCAGAATCAGTTGTGCTGGATACCCTACTCGCCGTCCTTT